CTACGGAGCCGTTGCCATCGTGGTTGGGTTTTGACGCCGAAGTACACTTACGTGCTGAGTTCGTCTTGCGACTTTATGGGCGGCGATATTGCCCCCTTCCCTTGTATGCTCCTAATGTAAAGGCTGCCTTGGAAAGGTCATGTCCCCTTTTTAGCACCGGCCTGTTGGGTGACTGACTGTTCAATGTGGGTTTTAAAGACTTGGCTGGTCCCTTTTCCTCAATTTGAAACAATGCTGAAGGCCATTCCTGCTTCAGAGCTCCCCGTGAGATGTGCTGAGCTTCACTGCATCCACATCACAGCTCAGCTTCTCCCTCTACCCAATCCTGCTGTCTTCACCCCCATGGGTATTGAGCCTAAGAATGTGCCACAGTGAACTTCCTGCATGCAAATCCCTGCCTCAGAGTTTCTCTGCAGAGAACACTGCCTAATGAGTCAGGGAAACAACACTTGAGTGGTCTAAGAGGAGGGCCTGCTCATATCAAGGGCGAAGGCAGATTTCTTACCACATCTCTCCCATGAAACAGTTTAGAGAACACAGTATTTCCTGGGGCACTAATAGAGTAGAACAAGGATCTGCAATCCTTTTCTGTAAACAGGTAGATAGTAAATGTTTTAGGTCCTGTGGGCCATATGGTCTCCATAACAACTTTTCAACTCTGCCATCGTAGCACAAATGAAGCCAGAGGTAACACTTCAGTGTTTGGCATGACCACGATCCAACTACAAAATGGATCCAACTACAAAATGTGGTGCTGTAGCTTACCCTGGTATAGAAGAATTGGGCAAAGGCGAAACTTCCTCTCTTCAAACTCTGTACTAGGAGACATCACCCTTTATCCCTGCTGCACCCAAATACTCCTTCCTGTGCACCCAAAATTTACTAGCTCCAATTCAACATATAGCACACACCAGCACCATTATAATTTAAAGAAATGTTATTTAGCTATTATTAAGCTTAAGCTAATTTTAAAAAATACATATTTTATTGATTTTAGAGAGGAAGGGAGAGGTAGAGAGAGATAGAAACATCAACAATGAGAGAGAATCACACTCCCTAGTGGGGATTGAGCCCACAACCCGGGCACATGCCCTTGAGCAGAATCGAACCTGGGATCCTTCAGTCGGAAGTCTGATGCTCTGTCCGCTGAGCCAAACCAGCCAGGGCAAGCTTAAGCTAATTTTGTGCTTGTGGATGAAAGGGGCCACAGGCTAACCTGACAAGCTCAGGGAAGGCCTACATGGGGGTCTTACAGACTCAGAGACCTAAAGTAACCACAAAAGATGGTCTGAAATTAAACTTTCACTAAAAGCAGTTATGGTGGGTAGTCACCTCCTAGGCCGGTATCTTCATTGACAAGGTCAACATTTACCTTAACTGAGCCTATCTGTCTTTTTGCATCTATAATAACATACCCTTTAAAATGTCTAGGTAACTTGTAACTTCCCTTTTTCCGGATCCCTTGGGTCACAACCTAATGTGCTGGGCGCCAGGACAGATACCACAAATTCCTTATCATGTTAATTGTTCCTGCACCCACCTAAGTATGTGCCCATCATTTTACTTTTTATCCAATCCCAGGGGTTCCCCTCCCCCAACCCAGCTTTGCTTTCTCCCGCCTCTCTAGTCTGTCACCAATGAATTTCATGTAACCCACCTATGTCCCTTTCCTTTGATTGTGATGAATAATTGCAAATGTAACCCGCCAATCTCCGGAGCACTATCTCAATTCGTTGAGGTTCTGCTTCCCGGCATATGTCGACAGTTTGGCTCAAATTAACTCACAAAAATTCTTTACAGGTTTCAATGGTTTTTACGTTAACATGCTTGTTATTAAACTAATGTTAACTCTGCACTTATTACGTTAATAAGCTTATGCTATTCATTTATTAAGATACCTGAACATCTTCTACACGTTGTGATCTGAAATGGGAAGATGACAGCTGTACTCCGGCAAAATTCACAAATGAAGCCCTTTCCTTGACACAGCTGTAAGAGTCAAAAAGTTAAAATCCTCATTGGTAATGTCTCTTTCGATGGAGAATCTTAGTCACTACTTTTACAGTATTTGATAAGTAGCCATTTTTAAATGTCTACAATTCCAGCCTCTGGAAGGAACAAGATGTTATATTCTGCTGCAATGAGCGGATGAGAACAATAAATGTGCATTCATTTTGCACAGAGAAACATCACATTGAGTTGGATTAAGGCACCAGAGCAAGATCATGATTTTAAACATGGACTCTTAAATTATCTAATTTTGTTTCTGATAGCTGCACTGCAATTCTCCAGTCCCTATAGACAAAGAGCTCCTGCTCCACTGGATCCTGAGTTGACATTGCTGTATTTGGCACAGATGGGACAGATGGGAGTCCAGGCAGACCCCAAGCAGGGCTGGGAGCCCAGACTAAGAAGCCGCTTGGCCCAGGCTTGCATCCCAGCCCTGATACTTACTACAGGATTACTTAGACCAATGGTTCTCAACCTGTGGGTCGCGAGCCCTTTGGGGATCTAACGACCCTTTCACAGGGGTCGTCTAAGACCATCGGAAAACACATATATAATTACATATTGTTTTTGTGATTAATCACTATGCTTTTATTATGTTCAATTTGTAACAATGAAAATACATCCTGCATATCAGATATTTACATTACGATTCATAACAGCAAAATTACAGTTATGAAGTAGCAACAAAAATAATTTTATGGTTGGGGGTCGCAACATGAGGAACTGTATTAAAGGGTCGCAGCATTAGGAAGGTTGAGAACCACTGACCTAGACTCTTTTAACAGCTGTGAACCTCATTTTTCCCATCTGGAGAGGGTATTACCAGCACTTTCTTCAGGATTTGTAAAAGTTAAATGATGATATAAAGTGTAGAACACCTAGCACAGGCCCTGATGCACCAGAGACAGCTCAGGGACACACCTGCCCCCTGTGAACCTCACCTCACAGCCGGCCACGTGGGCAAGGGAAGCGTTCAGAATGTCCTTGAGCGAGGGCGCCAGCAACCCTTTCTTGACCCTGACCAGGTCCTCCAGGGAGAACAGGTAGAGCTCATCGGTCAAATGTCTGGGCACCTGCTCAAACTCTTTTAATGCACTGCCAGAGAGAAAACAAAGAGGATTCAAGAACCCACCCACACAGGCTGGGGGAGAAGAGGGAAAGGGGTGAGCAGGTAATTGTTTTCTCCTGGCATTCACAATTACTTTTTAACTCAATTTTTTAAAAGAGCCCCAAGAACAAGTTAACCTTACTCATTCAACACATTAGATTTTGCAAGTTCACTTGGAAGCCAAGGTAAAATCCCATACTGATTTCAAAAAAACTGAACCAGCAGAGAAATGTGCTTCTTGCAGCCTGACCAAGCAAAAGAAAATTGAATGTTATTTCAAGTCTTAAAACTGTGTACTGGGATAAAACTCACTACTTTACTGATCCCAGCTCAATTTCAAGTCTGTCACTGACAGTTGCCCCAGATAGCAGAAAAATAACTGCTCAGGCATATAACTCCCAAATCCTTGAGTTCAAAACTGAGCTGAAGACTATCCATCTGTGAGCTGGTCACAGGCACTTGGATGCACCAAGGGCATTCCAAACTGAACAAAACCTTCTCCAAACCCTCTGCGCCTCCTCCTAAATTCCCTAAATCAGTGATGAGAAGCATCACCACACACTGCATTCCCAAGGCAGCCACTGCGTACCCTGGACCTGAAGCCAAACCATATTTAATTCTCCATCCAGCCTGGGGACTCCCTCAGCCTGCTTCCACTTCCAGCTCAGGCTTTATCTCTGGAAGCCTTGTCAGCTCCCTTCCCTTACAAACAAAATGCTCCTCCACATTCTCAGGGCTCTGTACATATGTGCCTAAGACACAATCCAGCAACGGACTACTGTGCTGATTCCCTCCCTGGACTTAACATGAGTCCTGTTGATTTGTTCATCTGAAGCACAGAATGGATATTCAAGAAATTGTTGTAGATGGTAAGAATTTTGGGTATTGTTACATGCTACATACAAGAAAACTGAGGGTCTGAGGCATAATTAACCTGTCACAGCAATGCCATGAGGTAAAGCTCAAACCTAAATGACTACTAAAGACATGCTCCTCCCCAAGAAATTTAATTCGAAAGCAATACATCATCATTCAGTTTTTAATCTGAAAGAAGCGAGAGAAAAACCAAGATGGCGGCATAGGTAAACACCGGAGATTGCTGCCTCACACAACCACTTCAAGAATACAACTAAAAGACGGAACGGACATCATCCAAAACCACAGGAAGGCTGGCTGAGTGGAAATTCTACAACTAGAAGGAAAGAGAAAAGCATACCGAGACTCAGAGGAGGTGCGGTGCGGAAGTACAGAGGTATGGAGGCGCATGCGGAGAGGGCTGGCGGCTGAGGACATGGTTGTCTTTTTCAATCGGGAGGGAGTCTCAAGCTCTGAGCTCAAGTTCTGGGCAAGTCTCTGGGGACCCAGACTCACACGGGAGAAACTGGACTGTCTGGCATCAGTCGGAACTCGAGGGCGGCTTTCTCTCAGAGGTGCTTGCAGCGATTGCCAGGACACTGAGAAGCGGGGCCTCTGAGGGCAGCCATAGCTGCTTGCTCCACCCAGTTTATCCCCTGGGACCCCACCCCACCCAAGCCACAAGCCATGCATGGAGGCTTTTGCATATGAAAGGCCTGGCCCTTTGCAATTTGAAAATTACCTAACAAATTGCAGCTGGCCCAAGGCCCCAGGCAACTTGCATTGCTTCACACCTGGCTCCTGCTGGATAGCCTCAGGCAGAGGAGATTAGCACCTCCTTAGAGATCCAGGAGCCAGTGTGCCCGGTGGTCGGAGTGGGACCATCCAGATTGCAGCTCCTCGGATCCATAAAGGATACATTCAGGGGGCAGACTCAGTGAGCACCAAAGCCCCACTAAAGCAAGTCTTGCCTCAGAGGGGTATCTCCAGCACAGAAGTTCTCCCACTGTAGACACAGCTGATTCTCACAGCCAATTGGCCTGGAGGTCAATTCCTCCCAGTGATACCTACAACAATCAAGACTGTGCACAAAGCCCACAAGGGGGTGCACCAAGAGTGTCCACCTCAGGTAATTGGGGAGGCTGAGCCACTGGGCCCTATAGGACACTAGCACACAAAGCCACTCTATCAACACAGGGAGCATAAAAAAATGCGGAGACAAAGAAACAGGACACAAATGACAGAAATGGAGGAAAGC